GTTTGGTTTACTGGAATATAATTACTGGGAATTTTAATTCCAATGTTTGGTATACATGGAAATTTAAAGGGAATAAGAAGTATAAAGTTCAAAAAGTCTATTGAGTTAAAATTTCGGGGGACATGGATTTTAATTCCATGAAAATGAGGGAATTGCAATTCCTTTCAACCAAACTAACGAATTTAGTGGTCTTTGAAATTAGGTGCACTGGGAATTAAGTGGGAATGAAATTTAAATTCCTTCTAACCAAACACCATGTAAATGTGTCAAGATTTTGTGGTCTAATGGCACCAAGATTGTACTCTCATATAGGAGGTCGTAGCCTTGTGAGTTTGAGCCTTAGTGGATGTGGCATTAACTTCTTGTAAAATAGTTATAAACTGTAAAAAAGAGTCAATAGCATTCTATATGTATGTTGAATTTTTTCCTCAATCCACTGGAAATTTGTACATCTTTAATTTGTTCACACACAACTCAATAAATACACGGTCGGAACTATGGAAGATTTAATTATTATTGACCTTTGACGTTTAATTTAATAATAATTATTATTATTATACTCTTGGCAATGAAGGAACAACCAAACCACGTATTCGTGTCACTATGTAAATTCTACAACATTTGACAACTATACAAGGAATAGTTTTTGTACAAAAGTGTTTCGTATAATATTTTTTAATTAAAATGTAATATGTTTCTACGAATTGTTTAAAAAATATTACTCGTTTAACGTGAGATAATCTTACACAAAACTTATTTTATTAATTTAAATCAAATTATTTATCTGATGCGAGCTTTAATTTGTAACCCATCTAAGAGATATTGAATGATGAAATAACAATTCTTTCTTGTCTTAATTCACCTATTTTTTCTCCTCCAATTCTTCTATATGTCATTTGCGCATTCTCAAAAATTACATTGTTATTATCAGATACTTTCGACGACTTACACAAGGGTTACTTTGTGTTAGATAAGGTTATAAAGGAGGCAATAAATAAAAGTTCAATGTGAGTCATTTATAGTAAGTAAGCTATCATAGACGTCACCTGAGTTACTTAGTGTTTAATTAATTAAGTCTCGTTAGTTTTAATGATATACGTACATACGTCCGTGTGGACACATTTACAATTGAAATTATTCTTATTAAATATCTTTTACATACGTCCGTGTGGACACATTTACAATTGAAATTATTCTTATTAAATATCTTTTAACTCTAAATACAATGTGTACGAGATTCACATCACATCAATAGAAAATTGACTGATATTTCATATCTGAATTAATTAACCAATAATTTTAAAACCGACAATAAGTCTTATGTAAATTTCATTTACCTTTTTTACATGGAGGAATATATATGTATTGGATATATAGATTTCAGCTAGTCTATACTAACTCCCAAAGAAAAGTTGGGTGTTTTGAACTTAAGTGCATGCCCTATGGTTGTTAGTGTTTTTTACACGGTTTTGTGGTCAACTTTTTCTTCAATAACGCTCATTTCATGCAATATAATCACATATATATGACGTAATATCTCCATACGTCATGCATGCATACTCTTACTAATTAAAAGTCAAATCGACTCGTCAATGTAATTTTCAAATTCAATTTTATGAATTTAACAAAAATTTTAATTTTTTTAAATAAAATAAAATCGAGAGAGAGAGAGTTGAACAATATTAGGGTGCGTTTGAAAAGTAGGAAAATGACTTCTGGAAAATGAGTCATTTTTCATAAAACATTTTACTTTCTTGTGTTTGGTTGCATTTTGGAAAACTTGGTGTGTTTAGTTTATTTTCTGGAAAAATGAGTAGAATTGTATGTTTATACATTTTAACGGAAAATGACTTCCCCCAAATTTTGGCGGAAGTCATTTTCCCCAGTCAATGGAAAATATTTGCCGTTGACTGGAATTTCATGTTGCATCCAAACACTGAAAACTCGAAAAACATTTTCAAGAAGTCATTTTTTTGATTTTCAAACGGACCCTTAGTGAAATTCATGGGATAAAGTACAAATAAGCGACTGAACAATTAAGAAAACAACAATTAAGTCATCGAGCTCAAATAATCCCAAATAAGCCATTGAACCCCGAAAAAAAAAAAAAAAAGAACAATTAACATTTTTAACAGGTTAACTTCGTGTTTTTGCTAAATGTATTGTCAATGGTTTTTTTTTTATTTTCGGTTTTTATTATAATCCACCTACATAATAATATATTTTAAAGTAATTATAATCAAAATAGTTTTGTCTTGTCTATATCTAATTTATTTATTTAATATTATTTTACAAAAAAATTAGTGAAAAAATAAAAAAATAATAAATTAAATCTCGACAAGACAAAATTATTTTTATGAGTAGTTAGACTATTATACGTTATACGTACAACCTCTATCAACCATCGGATGTCGCTATGTTACACTGCTTATAAACATACGATTCCAATATGAAGAAACCAACTTAATAACAATTGTTATGCCATGGAACATGTCCACCTTGCAAGGTGGACACAGTTCTATATTCATAATTACTGAATTCTATATTCATAATTATAAAATTTTATGTTCATAATTTTTGAACTTCATATTCACAATTATTGAACTGTATATTCACAATTACAAAACTCTATGTTCATAATTACTGAACTCTATGTTCATAATTTTTGAACTTCATATTCACAATTATTGAACTCTATAAATTACAGAAGTCTATGTTCATAATTATAGAACTCTATATTCACAGTTTTTGAACTCTATATTTAAAATTATGACAATTTTAGAATCAAGATGGACACGGATACACAACATAATCTGGCACTTAATAAACACCTTATATTACCCATTATAATTAGGACAATCTTCTCCTCTGTGCATCACCCATAGGCCATAGGCCGATCATCCTATGCCACCCAGCCCACAACTTTGGGTTGGGTTTACGGCCCAATAAACTTCTTTAACACTGCTGTATGGCAAACGGCAATTTATATCCTACACCACGGCGCGCGTTGCACTATGCGTCCAGATGCAAAACGATGTCGTTTTAATTTTTTTTTTTTTTTAAATACCCGCTGTTCAAGAATGTACATAATGTTATACTAGAATACACATAATGTTATACATGAATGTACATAATTATATAACAAAATATACATACTCTTTTTAAAAGATAATACACATAATCTAACATAATACATAATAAACATAAACTTTTAACATAATACACATCAACTCTTAACATAATACACACAAATTTTCTGATTCGGATGTACATAATTGTATAAAAAGAATGTACATAATTGTATAAAAAATACACATAACTGTATGAACCAATACACATAACGTTGTGAACAAATACACATAACGTTGTGAACAAATACACATAATCTCAACAACTTCCTACCGCACCTCTCAACACTACCCCAAAACGACGTCATTTTGGGAGGCGCGCAGCGCACAGTGCTATGTGCGCCGTGGTGTAGGATATAACGATTGATGGCAAACCAACCATTATCGCGTAGACCGTGATCCACCGCCTATGTGGCAACAATTATACTGTGAACCATGGTTCAAAATAACAGACACTATAGTGTATCTAAATTAATGTTGTCTCATGTATTACTTTTATTATATTATCAAATAAAATTGCAATTGAATTAAAATGAAAGTGTAGTTGTGTTGAAATGAAATTGCAGTGTATACAAAATGAACTGAATAACAATTTCAAATATTTGAGTGTATATTGCCCAGTGAAACTGTAGTTATATCAAAGTAATACTGTAGTTATGTTGAAATGAAACTGCAATGCATATTTGATGCAGGACCACAATGCATTGTGGACTGCGGTTCACAGTATAATTTGACGATGTGTGGACTACGGTCTAAAAATACATAAATTACATTATTATAACTCATAATACATTATTCTAACACCTAAAGTACAATACTATAACTCATAAAATACATTATCTTACTTCAGAAATTTCATTATTCTAATGCATAAAGTACATTATACATTATTTTAAAACATAAAGTGCATTATTCTAACTCATAAAATATATTATCTTACCCCATAAATTTCATTATTCTAACACATATAAAGTACATTATTCTAACTCATAAAATGCATTATCTAACCTCATAATGTTCATTATTTTAACACGCACATAGAGTAAAGAATTTTTTTTAACATCAAAATGCCTTCGTTTTGAACCATGGTCTACATAGATGTGTGGACCACGGTCCACAATAATTTGCCATGACTAACTCAATTTCAGCAAATTATAATGTTGGACCATGGGTCCATCTTACATTATGGATCTTGGTCCAAAATGATATATATATATATATATATATATATATATATATATATATATATATATATATATATATATATATATATATATATATATATATATATATATATATATATTAGGCTATTTTTCTGGTGTGAACCATTAATAACGTGTGAACTAGTGGATCAATCTGAAGCATTGGTGTTTTAGATCCGACGGCACCAAAGTAGGGTACAATGTTACTACCCTAGAATAAGCAACATGGCATACAATCCCCTATTACTAACTCCCTCCCAAACGTATTCGAACAGGACTTAAGCAGCGCGACACACCAGTTATAATTCGCATGTTTCACGGCTCTGAGTGACGATGAACATATCTGACGACGACAAACTCACATGTACACCACGTTCTCACCGCATTGGTGAACCCCGGCGCCGTTTCCCCTCCCTCCTCCCTCCAGACGCTAATCGTTATATGATGGTGTCATCGCCGACTGAAGACCACGACCGTACACCACCCATGGATACTTCATTAATTCCGGCAGCGGGGCGTGTATTCAAAACACTAAACGAAGGTATCCACTGCTACATGACCTACGCTTGAACCGTTGGCTTTGATGTCCGTTGTAGCTCGGTGAAGCGCAACAGAGCCGGGGAAATCTACTCACGATACTTAGTGTGCAGTCGGCAAGGGATCAAAGGCGATGGCAGACTACCCCGTGCTCATGACCGGGTTGTCAACGCTGGGGATAACCGTGAGCACTGCCGTCGGCTTTCTAATAAAGTCAACTGCAAAGCAAGGATCGGTTTTAAGAAAAAAAAAAAAGCACCGGGGAGTTCGTTGTGACAGTTTTTGAAGAAGAACATACTCATAAGTTGTGCACGGAGTCCTCTAAAGTGTTTATGCGGATAAACCGACGACTGAATGTTGCACAGCAAGCTTTCTTAGGTAACTGTGTGAAAGCAAACATCAGTGCATCAACGGGGTTGCGGTTTTGCAAAGAGACCACTGGGTCATATGCAAATGTGGGCGCTACAGACGTGGAATTTCACAATTTTAAACGAGACGTACAAACATATGTTGATGTAGCTGACGGCGAGATGATTATCGCAACGTTCAAAGCCAAGCAAGAAATGTGTAGTGACTTTTTTTTACTACCATCTGGATGAGGAGAACCGGCTGTCACGCTTGTTCTGGGCTGACCCCCGTGGTAGGCGCACTTTTTCTTGCTATGGCGATAATATTTCATTCGACGCAACGTATGGGACAAACAGGTATGCGGTTGCAATTTGAATACCAATTTCGCTATTAATATTCATGTTTAGACCATGTGAACTGGCAGTATTTAATCCATGCTTTAAGCTTCTTTGCTCCGTATTTAATGAGTATGAGTGTGCTTTAGGAAAGTGTTTTTGAATACTTGTTAACATGTTTGTATGATTAATAGCATTGCATGGTTTCAAACTTTTGAGGGCAGTAGATATATATGGAGATTTTTAATTTTTTTCCAGTTGTTAGTATTGCGTGGTTTGAAATAAAAGAACCTTGATGAGGAAGATGCACTGTGTATGTATATGTTTGACTCTACGAATTTAACTGTTTGGTAAATGTATATGTTTTACCATACTAATTTAATTGTTTTATCTCAGCTTAATATTACAGATGTTTAACTGTTTATTAGTAGTGGTGAGCTATAGTTGTAATACGTCATCTCCTAATTACATATTGGGCTGATTTGTAGTGTTAGCTAACACAGGAAACAGTTTTGAAATATTACTACATGAATAAGAGCTTTTATGTTAATTACAAGTGCATCGAAATACATCCCCTAATTACTGTAACGAGGTGCACTTCGGTTCACCGTTAGCATGTGTTGTCTTATTTATGGGTAACATACTATGTACGCGCCACTGTCTAGTGGGATACAAATTTTTTTTTCTATCTAAGAGCCATAAGCTTCCAAGAGACATTAATAGGGAATTGAGTTCTAACAGAAAACAATTGACATATTTTTTTAAATTGTGCAGGTACAGTATGCTGTTTGAGTCATTTACCGGTGTGGACAACCACAAACGATGCATCACTTTTGGGGCCGGTTTGCTCACTAAAGAAGACACTGACTCATACAGCTGGCTATTGGAAAATTTTAAATGTGCAATGGGCAAGAGCCCATTGTGTGTTGTAACGGACCAAGACCCAGCTATGCGGATTGCTATCCAACGAGTATTATCAGGGTCTCGCCATCGGTACTGCATGTGGCACATCATGACTAAAGTTAATGAAAAGCTTGGTAGTGGGTTAGCTAAGGATGCCGAGTTTCAGAAGAAGCTAAATGCTATCGTGTGGAACGAGGGAATCAGCAGTACTGAGTTTGAGGAGCAATGGTAACTATTAATGGATGAATAAAAGTTATCAAACCATCAATGGTTCAGCAAAATATTCGCTGAAAGGGAGAGTTGGATCCCAGTTTTTTTTTCATATTTGCCCATCTATGGGTTGTTGCGAACCACATCACGCTCAGAAGCAGAAAATGGTGTATATGGTAAATTCACACGCTCCCACTCCAGCTTTGTAGAGTTCTACATGCAGTTCGAGAGCGTGTTGGAAACGCAGCGCTACCGGCAAGATAAATTAAACGCAGAGTGCGAGGGTTACCTACCAGAGTTTAAAACACCATTAGCTCTTGAGCGCCATATTGCACAAGTGTTCACAATCACTATTTTTTACAAGTTGCAGAAAGAAATAGAAGCAGCTCGTTTTGATTCTTTTGTGGTTGGTTTACGCCACGAGGGGGATAGCACCTATTATGACATTGGAGGTGCGGGCAACATTACTTCAACAGTACACTACAAGGCGAGTGGTCAAGTGACGTCATGCAATTGCAACTTGTTCCAAAGAATGGGACTGGTTTGTCGACACATGTTCGTTGTTTTTCGGGGTGCACAGATGGAACAATTACCCACCGAATACATTGTGGGCCGTTGGTGCAAACACCTCGACTGCGGTGCATGCAGGGGCGTACCCCCCAATGGGAACATGCCAACACCCGCAGCAACCCAACTATGGGCCGAGATAAACACCTGCGTAGGGATGGTAGGCAATAGCCTAGAGCGGCAAACGCGGATGGTCTCAGTTCTTAAGGATCTTACCACAGAATTCGCTAGTGACGGTTTAACTGTGAACCCTGTTAAGGGTAACCGTGCTGCGATCCAAGCATTATGCGGCGTGGAGCCACCGGAAAGAATAACAATCTTAGCCCCCACCCAAGCGAAAAATAAAGGTACTGGGAAGCGTATCAAAAGCAACAGGGGGATGGCTATTGAGAAAAGTTCCAAACCCGGAAGAAAGTGCGGAATTTGCGGGAAATACGCCCGGCATAACGCCCGTAGTTGCCCTTCAAAGTAACATGCCAAGAAGTTGTAGAATGCACCATTCCCCTTCACCCTTGTCCCCATGTACTGCATTCCTTCACTTTTGACCCCATGTGCTTTTTATTTTTTTGGTTTTTTTTTTATTTTATTATATTACTGCACTCTTGTTACAATTGTTTGGGTTTTGCTGTTTAATTAGTAATCTGTTGAATTGATAGCTAAAGCTTTGAATTGGAACACTGAAGTGATACGAATGGGGGACTGAATTGGAACGGATAAGTCTAATTAGTGATGTTAGTGCAAATTTTTCTGCCCCGCCATAAAATAAGTGTGTAGATTCGATGGTGTACGAAAGCGTTACGAGTAGAGGACACCAAAGATTTTTAATGTGGAAATCCTTAACTATAACGTGTTTTTGGATTTTTAATGTGGTAATTCATGTGCAATTGGTTTTATTTGGTAATTCATGTGCAATTACGAATGGGGGACTGTGTTTTATGTGGTAATTCATGTGCAATTGGTTTTATTTGGTAATTCCTGTGCAATTGTAAATGGGGGACTGCGTAGACTATAAGGAGCAACTGCACACCACTGCATATTTTATGACTACCATACATCTAGGCTCCTATGTTTTTAAACAACAGTTTGTTTTATGTGCAAACCAATTTACCGAAAGCTAACAACTAATAATAAATAAACTATTTGTTTTATGTGCAAACCGAAAGCTGGAAGATGGTAATTCAGTGGACTAACAACTAATAATAAATAAACTAACGAACCACGCTCATCTGCCCAACCAGTGCTATTTTGCTACCCGCCATGCTTAGTGGAGCAGCTGCGCTAGTCTCTGCCGTTCAAACTCCCCCACGCGCGCTGCAATGTTGTGCGCATGCAGGTTGGCCTCACTGAGTATGATATTATGCATGTAGCGTTTGCGGAGGTTTACTATTTGGATTGCATTCCCACGTTGTAATCCAGTGTCCCAACTCACACAGTCCTGCCCAGCGAATGCCTCCATGTGTCGCATCGTGAAGATCCCGGAATCCATCGTAGAAGTCGTATCCCTCCATGCCATTTGCATTCTCTTCGGTTTCATGTTCCGTAGATGAGCAGCCCGTGCGGCTTGACAATTGGAGGAGTCTAGGTAGGTAGCAAGACACATAATCTGCAAACACACACATTTAGTATATGAGGCATCAATCTTGAATCTTTTGAGGGCAGTAGATATATATGTTGAGTGTTAGAGCCTTTTTTTTTTTTGGTTTTATGTTAGGCTGCCATTTATTTTGTTTTAAGATAGCTTAGTATATATTAATTGACATATGAAACCTACACCCAATCATACACTACCAATTAAACACAGGAACTAGATTTTCAAGAATTGCATTGCAAAAGTTATAAAACCTGAAAGCATTGCAACCTACTACGGGAAGCAGGACGAACAAAAAACCATGGCATAAGCCCCCCCTGCGCACCCACCACCCCAAGTTAACCCAGTAAACACCGAATAGAGAAGAAGTACGCGTACCAGTTCATCCGGAGCATCACCATACATTTCTTTGTTCGGCTTTTTCACAGATGAGCTATCGGTAATGTCAAAGCGGGCAGGGTTGAAGCTGATAGCCATCATGTAGAAAATGCCTTGCTCAAAAATTGGGAAAATGAACTGCATTGGGTCATGGATAACGGATGAATACAACCTGGGCAGCACGTGGTGTGACAATAATATTAGAGAGTAAGAAACCTCACCAAATCTACATCAGCTAACCCCTCACGACCCATACTCTTCAAGAACTTGTCCATGCGGTTCCCGAACCAAGTTTTCCGGGACTCATCGCTAATAGATGTGCCCACTACAGCCCCAATCTACAAAAAACACTAACAGTTATTTAACTTGGATTCAACTTAGCACAGGTGTGGGCCGAAATGCATACCGTCAAGCTAGTCGGAAAAAACAGACGGGCCAGGCCACCCGAATTCTTCCTTTTTTCCCGTGCATTCATGACACAACACCAGGCATCAACAATGGTTTTAGACACCCCAGTCCGCTCCCTTAACGTTTGAAACTGTGCCCACTCACAATCCGTTCTCCATGTTGGAATAACACCTCGCTCCTACATGACAAAAAGTAGGGACAAAAAGATAAGAACACGAGAACAGCAGCCCCCGATTACCACAAAGTATGATACAAATCGATTAGTGGTAACCCATAACGACTACAGCTACCTACCGATCGCCCTCGTGGGATCTAAATACCCACCCCCACACAGCATACACATGTGGCGGTATGTGTGGGTACCCAGATGTGGTACAAAAGAAAATGCCAGCTGAACAGCCCGGTTGAGCAAGAAGTACCTTCCCTTTCTGACATTGCCCGTCCACCCTCCGTAGGAGTAGTGTGTCGCCTACACACTGAGGCCGTACCGGTACCTGTACCACATCAATCCGTGAAATGCAAACTGAGATCATTACCCTACTGAGTAGTGTTGCACATGTAATAAAACCAGATTGCACCCACTACAAATAAGTTAAATGTATCAAGTTCTAAAAGTCATCTTAAATTATTTATCCAATCTATTCTTTCTGACACTGTTTATTTTTTAAAGTATGCAAACGAAATCCAGGTCAAAGCATATCCCTTCACTTCTTCCATCACTCTACCCTATTAACAAATGACATACCATGATCATACGAAAGAATGTACCTGAGGTGGTGGTGCAGCAACAACCCCCTGGTCAGACTTGTTATCAGCTTGCGGCGCCGCTGCGAAATCCTGGGTCAACCCAAGACTAAAGCTAGGCACATCAGAGATGGCAGCCGAGGCCCGTTGAACGAGTAGTTCCTCCCCTGTGTGACCTGGTCCACCAGTCCCCCGGGCCGTAGCTGGGGGCCCCACACGCTTAGCCCGAATTAAGCCCTGCAAACGTTTATAATCAGAATAATAAGTCTTAGGAATTCACTTTTCTTTAACCCCCATCTATTATAAAAATGATAACCGCAATGATGTTTCTCAAATGAACACCTTTCAACACCTCACATAAGGAATTGACAGTAATTTCAGAATTTATGACCTGGATTACATAATTTACTGCGACAAATCAGTAAATTTCCATTAGACGAAGGTATCCACTGCTCCATTAGAATCTGAGATGAGTTCATGCCAAGATTGCAGCTAATACAAAAGCAAATTTCTTGAATTGCCATGTAATTCTATAAATCTCAGTTCGTAATTTCCCTCCATGCTTTTCTCAGCGGCAACGCCACTCAGAGCTACTACTAGCAAGAGCAGAGCAGCGGAACAGAGCTGCTCAGTATTATACATTTTTTATTGGAGATATCTTGACGAATTACTAAACAAAATTTATAAAATCGGAAGATGCGAAATTAGTTGAAACATGCAATGGGTGATTGTTAGGCGAATTATAACCAGAACAGCGAACTCACCTGAACGTAGTGCCGATCTCCTCCGTGCAGCAACTCTGGCCGCCACCCTCGACGCCGACCTGTCAACATCGCCCCGTCCCCCTGCCGCCGGAGCACGCCGCCGTGAGCGGCACTTGAAGAGACGCGACCCGAACGCACGCCTACGGGAACCAGCTGAAGGTGGAGTCATAGGCGGTAATTGAACGGCGTTACTCCCCCGCTTCGACCGGCGTCCACCAATCGACTTCACCATATTCGCACGAGCTCCCGAATAAGTCACCGACGAGATAACAGGTGTGGAGGTTCAGTGCCCTGCGACTAGAATTTGGGTGTGGATGTCGAGTGCACTGTAAGAGATATTGCGATTAGAACAATACGGTCCGGTCAATTAGGACTCCTTACGCTACGCAACCGGTGTAATAGATGGTGTGCCACGCACGCACACCGTAAGCGCTGCACCTCCACTTGATACCGTACATCACCCGCAATCGAACGGCAGATAAGAGTTCACACATCCACACTTTAGGCAAAATTCACACCTGTATATATATATATATATATATATATATATATATATATATATATATATATATATATATATATATATATATATATATATATATATATATGATAGATACATAATATGTTAATTGTAATATGTACATAATTTGTTAAATTAAGATACAAAATATACTTTAATTTATTACCTTAGAACTAATATGGGGTAACACGGTTCTCTCTCTAGGTTTTCATAGAGTGTTTTCTCCCTAGGGTTTCTGTCTTGCTTCTCGTTTTGTCTTTCTGTTTTATCTGCTTTGATCTGTGTTCTCGTGGTTGTGCTATGGAAGTCCGTAATCTTGAGAAGAGTTGGGATGATTTGTCTTTACAGGAGGAAGATGTTGGGGGAATAGATGCGTCGATACAATATCATGCAAGTGGAAGTATTACGTACTCAGAATTAGTCGGTCGTTTCCTTACGGATTGTGCGGTCAAATTCGAACAGATGCAGCAATTTATGGCTTCGGTATGGAGACTAGTGATGAGAATGGGGGTACTGCTGCTAAATGACAATCTGTACTTATTCCAATTTCCACATCAGAAGGATTTGCAGCGTGTCATTGATGATATATGGCCCGTGGTCTTTCGAGAATCGCACCTTTGTGTGTAAGCAAGTCCCCAATTAGATGCGACCGGAGGATGTTATTCTCGATACAGTTGAGTTTTGGGTGAAAATTCACGATTTAATGGCGTTGTACGCTTCGACTGACTGTATAAGTAGAATTGGATATTATGTTGGAACCTTTATAGCAGCTGATCATAATAATTTTGGCGGATCATGGAGAAGCTTCTTTCGCATTCGGGTTGCGTTGAAACTTAATCAACTATTAAAAAGAATAATGAAGTTTCGGCTGAGGGATGATACGTTCTATTGGATCAATTTTAAATTTGAAAGGTTGGGAAATTTCTGTTTCTGTTGTGGTATTCTTGGCCATTTAGACAAGTTTTGTAAGAAGGTGTACGAGGAAAACATTCCACCGCAAGATTATCCTTGTGGTGCATGGTTAAGGGCGGGCATGAGGCGCCAGTCGCAACCAGTTGGGGCTATGTGGT